TTTATTTTTGAATTTTTTGGGAGTAATTCTCATATAGGGCAAAAATCACGTGCTTACAATTGTCAAGTCTTTTTTGATGAAAGAAAAAATTTATTCATCATCACCAGGAAAAAAACTTACAAAACCAGAACAAAATCGTTAGCTAACTCCCAGGTAGTAGCTACAAGAATCTCTAAATCTATTTTTCTAATTTATTCTCTAAACCTACATGTACAAGTTCCGTATCCATCCTATTTCTTTTCTACTGTGTCTGCTGTGCATTCTCATTTCAAACCTACAGTGACATATTCACCAAAATGATATTTCATAAGTCAAGATATCCTATTATTAATAGGAAATGATAGTAACCCATTTATTTTGGAATCAGCGTAATACTCTCTAAGTTTTATGTTTATATGATTCTATTAAACTCTCCATTTTATAAAATAATAAAATGTCAAACTAGTTTGTTTTAGAAAAAAAATTAAAGAAAAAAGAAAGTGGGGCGGGGCGGGTCCAAAACTGAAAAAATAACTATGCGGGGCGTGGCATGTTGAAATTTTTGTGGGTTTTGCCAAACCCGCCCCGCCCCGCCCTATTGCCATCCCTAACTATTCTTTTGTTTTTAGCTCTATCAAGTTTCTTTTCTCGTGTTGATGCTTTTCATGGTGTTGCAGGAAGACAGGGACAATTCTGTGACTATTGGTGTTGCAGATGAGCATGTAGGGTTGGTGCTTGGGCAGAATGGAAGGAATATAATGGAGATCAGTCAGGTGTGTAAAGGAGTTGCAATTGCTCCCTGCTTGTATATATGCTAAGTCTGTGCTTCCCTTGCAGCTTAGTGGGGCCAGAATAAAGATTTCAGATAGGGGTGATTTCGTGTCCGGTACTTCTGACCGGTATGACATCCTCATATTTTTTTGTTTCACTTGACAGGTTGAGCTATACAGAGAGTATAAACATTTTAAACAAAACTTTTCACGTTTTGCAGGAAGGTGACTATTGCTGGATCCCAAAGAGCGATCCGCACGGCTGAGTCCATGATATTTCGGAAAGTAGCATCCGTTTCTGAGAGATGACAGGTTGGACTTATATTTCTAATAGTTTTTGTTGAGTTTTTCGAAATGGATAGCTTCAATATCATATCCATGTGGTGATTTTGTAACTCTGTTGACATTGTTACAGGGGTGAGTTTTGTGAAATGCTGATCCACGGGAGGAGAGCATGTTTTGTTGAAAGAGAGTAGCACATGAATATTTAGTGGACTGATGATTTTTCCGAAGCAAAGCTTGTGGGGATAAATTCTCACAGATTTGATTCAGTTGACTGAAAAGATGACCATTCTATACAGCTGTAACGTTTCATAGCTTCTAACAATCAGTTAGGTACATTTGTTTATTCCTTATATCTCGTGAAGGGTAATGCATCATCAATATGAGCATCTACAGTGGCTTGCATCGTTTAAGTTTGGGGTAAAAGATAGCAAAATTATAGAAATTTCTTTATTCTAAATTCATTTTTTCGTCCTTCAATTCATTTCTCTGGCTAATGTATATTTCACGTTGGCTTTACTCCATGGTTACAATACATTATTCTTACTTTTATTTGGTGTCAAATTTCAGTATAGGGTAATCGTTGTCCATAGATAGTTTATTCAAAGTCATCGAAACACCAACAATAGTTTATTCAGAGTTATCGAAAGCCGAAACCAGAATAGGAGACTATTGGTGCTCCATGTTAACGTTAGAGTAGAAGAAATGCCGTGTTTGTTCACGATGATTCCATTTTCAATATTAGAGTAGAAGAAATGCCGTGTTTGTTCACGATGATTCCATTTTCAATATTAGAGTAGAAGAAATGCCATGTTTGTTCACGATGATTCCATTTTTCAATATTTTTTTTCCCGGGGAAATATAGCATGCATTAATTAAACCCAACAGTCAATGGTACAAAACCAGATGAAGCCTCGGTGACAATCCAGACAGGAAAGTTGTCAAACCAAGAGACTTAACTAAGTAGCGCGGAAGAAAATTTGGCTAACTTATGACTACGAGTATTGAACCCTCTTCTTAAATATTTAAAAGATACATTACTCAGATGTTGCTGAAGTGCCCAAATATCTTTGCAAAGTGTAGTAACCTCCCATGAAGGACCTCTGCTTCCATTAAGCATTTGAACCATTGTTAAGGAATCATATAAGATATCTATATTCTTCCAACCATACTTCACCGCCAGTTGAATTGCTTTTCTTATTGCCCACGTTTCAGCTATTATGGCTTTTCCAACAAAAGGAATTGGACTACAGCATAAAGCACGTCACCATTAGCCTTTAAGGCTACCATTCCAATACTCGTTTTGCGAGTCTTTGGATCCAGACCTGCATCCACATAAAGCAATACTTTTTCTGGAGAAAGAGTTAGTAATGGTGGATTAGCAGAAGCCTCGCTCATAGTGTTAACATAAATTCATTAAACTCAAATAATGCTTTAGATAAAATCTCATTTTCATTGCAGATCATCGAATTAAAAATATACTCATTCCTAGCCTTCCAAATCGTCATAAGATAGACACTGCTAGTTGCAATAAGGTATTAGTTTCCAAGAATCTTTTAGTGTCTAACACTAATTTATACCACCATGTAGCAAAATCAGAGATAATTTTTCATTATTAACTCAGCTTTGTTTTTGTACTTTGTGGGTTGGTTTGATAATCTTTAAGATTGGGATGTTAGGAAAAAAAATTCTAGTGTTGCACTTGAAATTATTCAACCGATTTTAACTTTAAAAGTTGCCGCAAAGCAGACTCATGTTATAAGATTTCTAAAAAGAACCTGTTGCATCCTAAAAGATATTCCTCTGAACTTTGTTCCAGGAAGCAAGGAATGTTTTACAGAATAGACTTAAAGATGATATTCATTCTCATTTAATCTTTAATCTATTAAATATATGTTTATTCTATTCAGTATTCTTTTAATTTTGTTAGCAAAGCATCTAATGTGAATGTCAATCTGGAATTTCACAACAAATGATGTCCCCACTTCTCCTCGAGATAAACCATAGCTGTGGGGCAGAAAGGTAGAAATAAAAGTGGAGAGGCGGCCATATCCAGAGAAGGAGAACATAGGGACAAGTACAAAAAAACCTATTCATTAATGTGTTATACTATTGTGTTTTAGGGGCATTCAAGGAAAAGATAAAGTGGGTACATTGCTAACATAATACCTTCATGTAGTATATTAGCAAGACCCATGTTCACATATATGTAGTGTGTCCTAAATTATTTAGCTCCCGTTTGGCTGTAAATTTTGGCTTTATTTTCTCAATATCTTTTTGAAAACATTGTTTATGAAATATGATCATGTTTTGGGAAAAAAATTAAAAAATTTTCAAGTTCCCAGAAACTGGTTTAGAGCAATTTTTGGGTGAAATTTTTTTTTCCACTCACAAAACTTTAACTTTTCTTCAAATAAAATGCATGTCCAAATATAACTTCAACTTTCAAAAATTATTTGTCAATACAACTTAAAAAATTATTTTTCAATACAACTTCAAAAATTCTTTTTTAAAGTTTCAAAAAAATCTATAACCAAAACGCTAGCTTAAATTTATGAAACTACGGAGCAGGGAAGAAATGACCCTTCTCCCATTACACAAAAGGAATTTGTAGGTGCAAACTCACGTATGGGAAAGGTGACGGAAAATTTTATGTACCTATTACTTAGTAGAGAACAAAAGAGGAATATTATTTTATCGTTGACCTATGATATTACTAATACAGTAACTTAATAGGTTCACTAGACACCTAGTTAAACCTTGTAAAAAGGAAATTGATAAAGATTTTCTTAGCGAATGCATTTATATGATTATATCACCAGGCTGCCTAGTCCCATCTTAATTTCTAGTAACTAATAAGACCAGCTTGTTTTCAACTTATTACTAAATAAAGACTTAAGTGTCCTAAACGTATAAATAACGTTTGTACTTTTCACCAGAATAACCATTATACATAGGTTTGCCGTAATTCTCATTATCTCCAACTATAAATGCATTATTATTACTAGTATTAGTACCCGTGCGATGCGCGGACACAGCCTATGTCGGATTGTGATTTCGATTATTTGAATTATGTATAAATAACTTTAAAATATAAACCGTTCCAGATAAAATTTATAGATATCATTAGATATTAATTAAGAAATAAAACATGAAACCATTTTGCAAATCTCTTAGTTGATAACCTGTTTTCTTTTCCTATATTTATATAATCCAATTGGTTAATTTTAGTACTTGAATTTCGTTTGGTTATCAATATTTAAAAAAAAAATATACTAAATATGTCATGTGGTGATTTATCTCGTTTGAACATATTAGATCCTATTATTTTAATAAAATTCTTAGTATCATTTTATTTTTTATCTCAAGCTCCAATAGGTCTTATTCTTTTAAAATTTACACATTTTTTTGTTCTTTGCTTATAATTATTATTTTATTTATTATTTAATATTATTATACTTTCATATGATTTTTTTCGGGTTACTAATTGACTTACTATCTTACTTATTATCCTTTTAATAATTATAGATAAATATTATTTTTTTATTCTTAAAATTTAATATATTCTACGCTTTTATCTTCTTACTCGAAAATATTTTACTATTTAAATCTATCAATATTATTTTTGAATATTATTCAATTATTTACTTTGTTTCATTTAAAATAATTTAAAGTATAAATATCCTCGCACTATCTCTATTATTTTCTTTATACAGTCTATTCCCTACTAAGAAATTTTTAATTAATTTTTATATTAATATTTTACCTGTAATCAAAATAATATCATATTTTACTTTAAATTATAACTTTGATTAGTCTAAAATATTAATATACAAGTTCTTTGATTATTATATTCCAAATCTATTGAGTTTTTCTTATATTTATTTTTTGTATTACGTGCAATAAATTTTCTTTCCGTTTAGTTTCAAGATACAAAATTTGATTTTTTGTTTTCGTTAAAAAATTACTTATATTAGATATTTATTTTATATTTTTTGAAATTTAATTCTATATCTAGCAAGACTTTAATTTTTAGCGGTCCTATCCATAGTTTGAGCATTCTCATCATAATGTTAAGAACTTTCTAATATTAAGTAAAATAGTCTTTTCCTTTCATTTCTAATATTAAATTTTTAATTATTTTTTTTTACTTTTGCTATTATGTTGTCAGATATATGGTATTGTCACAGTTTCATATGGCTTTTAATTAAGTTTCCACTTTATTTAATATAATTATCCATTACTATCCTTTGATATAATATAGATAAATCTAGAATTTTTTAATCTTAAAATAAGTATCTATTTTATTTTAAAAACATTGCTTGAATTCTTGAGTTATTTAAATTTATCAATAGTATTTTTAAGTATTTTATTTTATAAACTAATTCTTAGCATAAATATACTCACACTATTTCTAATTTATTCTAATATTTTTATTTATATATTTTAAGAAGAATTTTTTAATCTTCAAAAAAGTTATATCCTTCTAATTTTTAATTGGACTGCATTTTTAAAAATTATCTTATGCTTTCAATAACTGCACTCAATTTAGATATTAATCTAAAAATTAATTTCTTATTTGTTGGAACACATTGTCACACCTCCTTTTTACCCGCGCCCGCAAGGGGCGCAGAGGGAGTTTTTTCAATTAAAGGACAATCAAAACGGGATTTGTTTATTTATTTTAGAGTCGCCACTTGGGAGATTT